GACTGCTTTGATCAATCGCCAAAATGTCACCAGAGTAGCTAATCTAAACATACAATGTTCCGTATTGTTAACCGTGCATTACCAGTGCATAATTACATTGCATCGTAGACACACGGCCCTCACAACTTATTGGCTTTCAGAATGCTTCAAAGTCAGGTTTTCCACCACCAATGGGCCCCGACAAGCAAAACCTTACCGACGGAAATACCTCGCATCAGGTACCGGTGGGCCGTGTCAGTTAACCTTTGTTGCAGCCCGTGAACGATGATTTTCGAACCTTTTTATTTGGCGTATAATTTCTCCTGTTCCCAGGAGTCGTGAATGGTCGAGATATGTTATACGCTTTGATAGTATCGTGTTGATCCGATTATGTCAAATGTTCTGTTATGTCGGGGTGCTAGTTTTAAGCTGGCTGCCATCGTGACAACACCAATCCCAACGTGGCATTTGCGCAAGCTTTGATTGTCAGTTTCTGGGAGTTGAAGAACGTGTCCTCACTGTCGAAGGGGGCGAGATGGCCCAGGTGGTTAGAGCGCAAATTTACTGACCGGAAGGTTCGTGGTTCAAACCCGACCTGTGCCTCTCGACTTCCCTTGTCTAGGCTTGGGCAACCTGGGATTATCCCAGTCCTCGTGCCTCCTTCGTGTAGCATGGTAGCTAGGCACCGAAAGGGTGTTACAGCCGAACGATTTTTTCCCTCGCTGTCGAAATCAATGTTGCTGGAGTCGACGGCGGACCGCTTCTTGTGGTACACAGTTTTGAAGCATTCCAAAAACACCACTGTCCCTCTACAAGTCTCTGAAATTCGCCTCGGCCAAGTTTTGAATGCCTAAATTAAAGCACGTCGGATGGCGGAATTCAGACTATTTTTTATCGGTGTACGAACGCTCTACGGGCATTATCCAAACGAACCATGGTTTCATGCGCGGCCAGGCTATTCGGATGGATGGTTTCCAACACCATGTATATCGTAACTCGTCCATCATAGCTAAATTCGGATGGATAAAATGGCTTATCTCCTAATGTGTGCATACGTAGACGGACGTACAAAACTTGCTGGCGGATCCTACCGTAGATTTATAACGAGGACAGCTATGTCTTCCGTGAATTCAAGAACCATGACCAACAGCCAAGCCAACGATGGTCGACAGCTTAGCATATTTTCCGTAAGACTGAACTTTATCACCATCAGGAACAGAAAATTAGTGTTGACACCGATGCTTCACTGCCGTACAACCATAAGGTTCGTCTAATTATATTTAAAGCCTTGGATTGATGGAAGAGAAATGTGGATATTGGAGGGGACCTAGTACTGACCTTCTAAGTTGCCTTCATGCGCTTAACCAGACAATCTGAAAAGAAACTGTCAAGGCGAACGCCACTGACATCGATCAGCCGCCATTTCTTGCAATACTTCCAGCCAAGCGCTGCAGGGGTCACGGGACCCCCATCCTAGGTACAGGACAGGGTACAGCGGACAGTCCTGTCGAATCCAAGAAGATAAATTCAAGTTTGGCTACTCTTCATCGTATGTGCTTACTCGAGGCCCCGTAGCCGCCTAGTAAAACCGCAGCAACATGAATCACCTTTGATTCTGTTGTCTCACAGTGCTCGTCAGATTCGAACTTGTTGATATTGGTTATAGTTTCCGGAGATTATCCCAGTCCTCGTGCCTCCTTCGTGTAGCATGGTAGCTAGGCACCAAAAGGGTGTTACAGCTGAACGATTTTTTCCCTCGCTGTCGAAATCAATGTTGCTGGAGTCGACGGCGGACCGCTTCTTGTGGTACACAGTTTTGAAGCATTCCAAAAACACCACTGTCCCTCTACAAGTCTCTGAAATTCGCCTCGGCCAAGTTTTGAATGCCTAAATTAAAGCACGTCGGATGGCGGGCGGAATTCTATTTTTTATCGGTGTACGAACGCTCTACGGGCATTATCCAAACGAACCATGGTTTCATGCGCGGCCAGGCTATTCGGATGGATGGTTTCCAACACCATGTATATCGTAACTCGTCCATCATAGCTAAATTCGGATGGATAAAATGGCTTATCTCCTAATGTGTGCATACGTAGACGGACGTACAAAACTTGCTGGCGGATCCTACCGTAGATTTATAACGAGGACAGCTATGTCTTCCGTGAATTCAAGAACCATGACCAACAGCCAAGCCAACGATGGTCGACAGCTTAGCATATTTTCCGTAAGACTGAACTTTATCACCATCAGACACAGAAAATTAGTGTTGACACCGATGCTTCACTGCCGTACAACCATAAGGTTCGTCTAATTATATTTAAAGCCTTGGATTGATGGAAGAGAAATGTGGATATTGGAGGGGACCTAGTACTGACCTTCTAAGTTGCCTTCATGCGCTTAACCAGACAATCTGAAAAGAAACTGTCAAGGCGAACGCCACTGACATCGATCAGCCGCCATTTCTTGCAATACTTCCAGCCAAGCGCTGCAGGGGTCACGGGACCCCCATCCTAGGTACAGGACAGGGTACAGCGGACAGTCCTGTCGAATCCAAGAAGATAAATTCAAGTTTGGCTACTCTTCATCGTATGTGCTTACTCGAGGCCCCGTAGCCGCCTAGTAAAACCGCAGCAACATGAATCACCTTTGATTCTGTTGTCTCACAGTGCTCGTCAGATTCGAACTTGTTGATATTGGTTATAGTTTCCGGAAAGTGAACTAGTGGAGGGATCTGGTGGGTATGGGTTTTCTCTGGACAAAAACTTTCCTGGTTCGGTTCGCCCGTAAAGCCTTCCCAAACAGCTTGCCTTAGTAGCCACTACCAATAAAACTAAACGGTGATAGTCATCACAGAAGAATTTGCCATCTGTGTTTTGGAAAACTGATAAATATTCGCTATCCAGCCAGATAAAAACGCCTCACTTCAGACCCAACAGAATGAATTACGGAGTAGTGTTAGAAGAGCATCTGTAGAAGTGCCACTTTTACCCAGAGCTTCGCAGTCTCTAAACTTCCGGCGACTTCGATTATTCCTTCTACTGCATGTCACAGCCTGTATCGTACGTCGTTGTGAAGGGGGTTGATCAGTCTGGGGGATAGACGAATGCTGATTCACGTGGATGAGGATTTGTTGGAAACTTTTGATCCATCGATAAATTCTCCTCTCAGTGTCTGCAGTGATTTCATCAGACACAGTGCGAAGTACAGATTAGGCATTCTTTCGTTTTTGGGAGACATGTCGCAGGAATAGCTAACTTGGTATAGTCACTAATATCGGGCGCAGCATTCCTACTGGTCGTCGTGTTGGTCCGTCTCACTCTACGGATTTGGGTGTTCTGTCACAACCCGGTTAAATGGGTGAACAGCCTTTTGGTGTGTCGTTGAACTCCTCGGAACCCATTGTCAGTTCTCGTGCAGCCAATCTGCCGGAGCTGCTTCCACATGCTCGCCTTTGTTGCTTCGAGGTCAGGGTTTAGCCGGCTCCTCGAGATAGACGAGTGATTAACTGCCAGGTCCCTATATTGCAGAACACTTGTATTGCTTTCGCATGCGCGCCATATAAAGGTATTGGACCGGACATCAGCAGCAGAGGTGGAACAGCTTAAGGATTCAAACGTAATGTAAGTATCTTGGTTATTCTCCTCTTTTCCCTCTTGGTGGATTTGAATCCGTCACATCTCGACTGGCGCGATCTCAAACTAATCTTTTATCCTCTCACTCACACCTGACCGTTAATTTAACTCGGAGCTCTAGGCCAAACTCGTCTGGGATTTTATTAAGCCAATTGAGCCCCATTTAGTGTATAGTGTTCAAAGTCCCAGTTCACAGCACATCGTAGTGAAATGTTATAATGTTCATTTATTTCCCCTTACTTATTTCCATTCATAGAGGACAGTTGGTGTGACAATGGAGTCGAGGTGTGAGGCTATGTGGATGAGAGCGATATCACTGTGATTTCTTTCTCCATGACTTAAAGAGCGCGTTGCTTGGTTATAGCTAGCAAACACCACGGTCATGTGACACACTAAAACACACGAGGTTTTATGATGCAACTTGGCCTAAACGAGTGTTTGGCTGTTGAGTACTGATTTTTTGCCATTCTGCTCATTTTCTTCTAGTGAGCATTGTGTTACCCCATTCAGGTGAGAGAATTCTCGCTGTCCCAACTGTTGATGCTCATTTGCAAAGGTCGCTTAAAATCTCCTTTAAATATCTCCATGGTATCGTATCCATTGGTTTCCTATGTAGATCCTTTGTTTCGAAACGGTGAACTCTGACTTTCGATATCAATCGTAACTTTTGTTCGGGTTTAACGCTGTTTCGCTCAAACGTCATGGTTATTAACTTAATTTCAAATATCGCATCCTTCCGGTCAGCACATGTGCCAACCTCTTGCAAATGTACATTATTATCAAAAAGGCCACTGTGCCCGTGGAGGCGACCCTATTTTCCCGGTCGATCACTCCCTTATCTGTGCACACACACACACGTACCGATGATAGCCAGTACAGTCGGCCGTTTACGCACACGTAAACGTGGTTATGACCGTGTGTGCACACGTGAAGCAATCGGTATTGCATGAATCACTTGTGTGTTAGTGGTCTTGTGCTGAAATGATCCACCCTTCTTGCAGGATGAATGTACGGGCGAGTGCGTCGGTCTGATAGCTAGTTTTTGTAAACGACCACTACACTTTCCATTGGTCGACTGCTTTGACTCATAATCAGTAATCTTCATGATTCGACAATCACTAGGCGTCCTTTGGGCATACTGACAATTTCAAAGTTCTACTTGGAGCGTCAAATCTCACAGGAGACGAGTGAATCCAGAACTTGGTGTCTACCTTCCCTACGTACTTCTCATTGTGTTTCGGGTATTACTTATAGAGGTATATTCTCACTAGTTCGTCATTTTATCCCTCACGAATCCGAGGTCCTGTAATTTTGATTGAATATTTGAAGATATTCGCCCGGAAAAAGGTAAACAAAATTATTGCTCCCCCAGTTTAGGGGGGGGGGGAACCAGTACCTTTTTCCAACTAACCTAGGCGGATAATCTGATTACTTGTCCCCACTGGTCATCGATCCTAACTGCGGACCTGATATTTATCGAGTTGTGACATGCAGTTTAATTGGACATCATTTGGGAAGCTGTGACCACGTAATGAAATCCTTAGTCAGCGAGTTGGACACATGATTCGGTGATATGAAGCCAGACCACAGGACCGAGCTTATAGGGAACTAACCGAATTATCCCAGTCACGCATACTCGTTTAGCTTGTTCCTTGTTGAGTTGCTTTGCTTGGTAGAAATTTGTCAAATTTCATGTTTACACATTCATCACCTTGTGTTACAGCTGGCCTATTGCATCGTACAGTTCTTGGATAAGGATTCCACACTCACCGAGCAAGTGGTAAAGGGACTGTTGAAGTTCTGGCCCAAAACGTACTCACAGAAAGAGGTAATGTTCTTGGGAGAAATCGAAGAAATTTTGGAAGTCATCGAACCTGCCCAGTTTCAACTGATTATGGTCCCCTTGTTCCGTCAAATCGCCAAATCGGTTTCTAGTTCTCATTTCCAGGTGAGGTTCCCTACGTTCGGTTGTCATTACTTTTGGTGAGGTCATTTGAAATCACCAATACGTATACTGTCATGTGAAGCCAACCTTGTACCCTTTGTGTTTGTTTTTTTCCAGCTGAATTCAAGATGAGCACAGGCACTGGAATTCACGCATGCTGTCATGTGAAGCCAACCTTGTACGTTTCGTGTTTGTTTTTTTCTTGCTGTGCCATTTCCCGAATATGGCGAATTCAAGATGAGCACAGGCACTGGAATTTGTAATTATGTAACTGCTTAAATAATGTGGCACGTCTCCGTACAAGTGACTTGTACTGAGCCGTCTGAAAGTGTCCTTTCTAAGGCGATAACTTCTACGAGTAACGTCGTGCATAGCCAAGATTTTTCTCTGCTGACAATTCCCTGATGCTAGCGACTACTCAGCTGAGAATTATCGATCGTGTTGCGCTGATGCTGTTGTTCTGAACCCACGGTCTTTTCGATGTATCGCAAAAATTGACCCTCGAAGCTTTTCTGACGAGAAAACCGTTCATAAGTAACGAATTCATCATCACTGAATTCCTATTTAACGGAGCTATTGAGGATGTCACCTAAACCTTAGCACCAATACAGTGGGCTTACTCTCTTTTAAAAGAGGTATAATGTAATCGGGAAAGTTGTGATAGCTTTTTTTCATGATGGATTCCGTGAAATGCGAAGTAAACGTAAGGGGGAACAACGCATGTCAACTTTAGCCCCCAGTTTGCTTTGCTTCCAGCTCTCACGGTTGGTTTCTTCGTCTATTTGAAACCTTCTCTCTCTTCATTACGACCGATTGCACTTCCCACATTGTGAATGCCTCCCGGCTATGTTAGTCTCGACAATGTGCATGGCTTAAGTGGTTAGAGCGCGAATTTACTGATCGGAAGTTCCATGATTCGAACCCTACCTCTGCCTCTCGACTTCCCCCTGTCTAGGCTCGGGCAACGTGACAGTGTCCCAGCCCGCGTGCTTCCTTCGGGCAGGCACCGGAAGGGTGTTACAGATGAGCGAGTGCGCATGGCTACAAATTGCGACTCACCATTGCAGTGTCACTGGCCTCGTCCCTATCGTTCCTGTTTGTTGGTATATCCAAGAGTGGTGAACTACTGGCCTACGTATACCTCAACCACTGGACTGATCATTTTGTATTCAAAGTAAAAACTGCATGTTGGCTCTCCGCTTGAATAATTATGATTCCTGCTGAGGTGGTCTGTGCGCGGCTCTCTGCAGCATCGAATTACAGCAATCCAACTTCATTTCCCATCCTGTCGGCTGAATCCGATGATGAGTGAACGCATACAGAGTGTATCAGCGGACACTCCGTACTTACTACCTACTACTTACTTACTACCACGCAAGCTAATCAGTTCTGTCCTCGCGGTTCGGCCAGTATGTAGTTTCCTCCCTCACATTTCCCATACGTTTTACGTTCTATCCAAATTAAAATTCCCTTCATTTGATGGAGATATTCGGTCATCACCTGGCAATATTTTATCAAGTGCACCAATCTTTTGTGGGTGTGGTCACGCCAGTTTGGCGTATAAACTCAGATGAACACAACATTGAGCATAATAAGGTAAGGTAGTATTCTACGGATAGATAAGGCCCGTCAATTCCATGTTATTTTACCCATCAACATACCGGGATGAATTTATGTTAGCTTCGCTTTACTCCAGTTCTATTTTGCATCGAGGTCAGCCAGCTTCTTGACCCCGACTCCACTTACACGGCTTCGGATGGTGACGCTTTCACATTTGTTGATCGGCTGTTCGCTCCGGTGGTGTAGGCCGTAGGTAGCCCACAATTGAAACATTCGAGATCGGACTTATCGTGTCGGTGACCACTTTACAACTCAAAGCTTAGCACCATCCCGATGTAGGCACTGCTCTAAGTTATATCGCTAAAAGAACCAAACCATCCGGGTGAATAACTTAAAAGCGTCCACTTCATACCTCCCTTTTCTTAATGCGATCTTAAGGAAGTATCTTGAGAATGTTTCGAAAAAACCACCGATCAAAACTCTGTTTCATCTGAGCAGATTTCGCAAGCACCGAGTAAGCTATTTCGAATAGCAAACTAGTGGATCTGATCTTTCATCCTCAGGATGATTTGTCCCCATGTCACTGTTGTGGGATTACTGTATGGGTTTATCCAATAAGATCCTAACTTTATCCCTAATTTATAAGATCGGAAGGTTGAAATGAACTCATGTTCATGACCAATGGATGTACAGTCATCCTTTGGACGGTTACCTCCACGTTTAAAAATTGACATCATTCGTGCAGTTAATGTAGCGGTCCCAGTTGCTGATCACAAAGTTTCCAACGTCTGAAGTATTTGCATGTACCACACCGAAGCCACCTTTTTGTGTTTTTGACGCCACGTTAATTTACTAAGCATTCTACATAGCACCGTCACTGGTCGCATTGTTCATGTCATAGGAAGTCAGCTAGTTCGCAACGTTGGCAACGTTTTGTCATAGCGAGAAAAAGGAGGAATCACATTGCAGTGACTGAAAAAGCCGTCTGAAACTTTGAGTGACAAATCAATCAAGTAGAGGGTTGTAGAGATACCATACTGCTCTACTGATGCGGCCAGTCCTGTTAACGGTAACATTAATCTTTTGGGGTAATAATTGAGTTTGTCGGTATATATATATATGCGGGAAAACTAACTGCTGCTATGTAGACTGCCATTTTATGGACTTGCACAAGAACTATTTCCGGTACGTCTACAGAAACAAACAGGTATTTTCACAGACAGTCACTCCCAACGGTCAACTGGGTTTCCGTTTGACGTTGTTCGTCTGTTTCCGATTTGGTAGCTTTTATTGTTATCTGCAAGAGTGGCCAACCTGGTACATCTCACCGTTTGCTACCGATTTCGGCATCCTCCGGAAGGTTCGTTCATTGGCCAGATTATACCAATACGTTACAACACCGGTGATCGATGACCCTGTCAGATTGTCTTGGAATTCAGCCTGACATGTGGAATTCCGGATCCATGATCAGCACTGTCTTCACCATGATAGGCAAGCTGTAAAAATCGAACAGAATTAATGAACTATAGAAAAACGGCGCGACACCCTAGTATGATTTGGTTTGTAGGTAACTGTAACAAATGGAGGTACACACATGTGTAGGCAGGACTGCGTTTTCACTCCTGGGCACCATTAGATTTAACTTTTTCAAATTGCCAGCTGTCTTTCATGCATATTCTAACTTCACTGAACAAGTGACAGGGCAAAGTGCGTTGCAGACAGCCAGGGGCTGAAAATGGGTAAAGGCTTCTCCCACACAAACAATAACGATGGCGTCCGTTTGACCCTTGGAGACATTGCAGGAAACGGCGGCTGATCGATGTCAGTGGCATGTGTGCTGTCAGTTTTTCTCTGAATTGTCTAAGTGCTCGAGGGTGTAGGCACCTCAGAATGCTTGACACAGGTCAGCCCTAATCCCCTTTTCCTCACCCACTCTTTCTCTTCTTTTCATTCCAAGGCTTTAAATATCACTAAGTAAACTTTGTGGCTGTATGGCAGTGAAGCATCATTGTCAACATTGATATTGTTGTCCCTGATGGCGACGATGATGATGATGAAAGGCAGCTCTATCATAAAAAATTCTTTTCAATTCCAAGAGAATTTCCTTTCATGAAACACGTAGGAACCTTCCTATGAAGAAGTTCTTCTGCCAAAGACATTGCAGGCGCAGGGAACACTTAGCACTATACTTTATCCATCTTACTACTTACTAGCGAGAGGTGCATGCGAATAAAACTTTTGCATATGTCTAGGGCACTCGTTAGATTTACTTCATCCCAAGTTGCGTCTTTAGGGTAGAGGTCAGCTTACCTTGTCGTTGCTGTGCTCAAAATGCTATTGGAAATACCCTGTTTTTCTCGACACGTGATACGCCATTACTTGGGACGGTGAAATCCAGAAGCCTGATGACTATACTACATTTTAGACTTCCGACTCCGGTACGAACTTGAATCCAATCAAGTCAAATATTCGTAAATAGCGTGTCTGGGAGGTAAGAACTGACATCAGAAGCATCCAAGGCGGAGGGATGAATAGAGCGAGTATGTTTTCCGCTAACTTTGACTGATTTCAACTTGTAATTCTACTGGCTCGTGAAAGTCAATCGACCTCAGTTTATTAACATAACCAATCGTATAACTGCTAGTAAGTCTCAGATGCCTTCGATCAGATTCATATTCATACTATGATCGGCTCAATCGTTGGTCTTGGTGTTACGAGGCAGTGAACACATTTTTGTGAGGTAAGCTATGTCGGTGGATTACCTTGTTGAATGTGGTTGGTCTCTGATGCGCTCACAGCTCCATGCTGAAGCTACACCATATATTGAAGGTAACGAAGCTCGAATACCGAACGAAGCAACTCATAATGACTCGATAGTTACAGAGTCACTGATAATTATCATTGCCCTCACTGTTGCTTCCACCCTCGTGTCAAGTCGTCCTGGTTTGTTTGACTATGTGTCACCCTTTCATTCGTTTAGCATGTTACACCTTTTCTGTGCCTAGCTGCCGAAGGCTGAAGAAGTACTTTCATCAGATCATCTGGTAGATCGGCCCTGTGGCAAACAACTCATTGGTTCGAGCCCGAAACTTTCGTTTTTCATCCATAATTCATTATTTTGACTATGTGCAAAGCATCTTTGAGTAGAGCTTTACAACTGAACTTTTCGTTCATCGTTCAGGCGTCAGGCTTCTGCAAATAACTCTCGTCGGTTATAGGCTTCCGTGACCTTCCAGTACACAGATTCTATCGATTCGGTCTGTGTTGCGCATTTGTTCACTGATACCGCCGTGTGCATCTGACATGCAAATTATGACCGAAGCTCTGGCATGTCTCATTTTCGCGCCATCCGTGCTTTGAAAGAACACTCCATCTTACTTTCAGGACAACTTTGTCCATGCTTCTTCGGTTGGTTACCGGATGCAAAACGGAAAGCTTACGGAGTTCATTTCCTCCTTGAATTTGAACAGAAAGTTCACCTGTTGTTCGCTGGATTCTCCAACTTTTTTCATCCCGTTTATTTCTTCAGGTTGCCGAACGTGCACTGACCTATTGGAACAATGACAATATTGTGTCACTAATTGAAGAAAATCACGAAGTCCTCATTCCAATTCTATTCCCTTCATTCTACCGAATCTCGCGAGAGCATTGGAATCAAACTATTGTCGCGCTAGTCGGCAACGTGTTGAAGAACTTTATGGAAATGAACAGTGCCCTGTTCAATCAGTTGGTGGAAAACTACAAAGCCGAGCGCCAAAGGTACTTTTTACCTCTTCTGATTGATATCCCCCTCGCTGTTTTCTCGTGGGGACGCAAAGTGTGTTGTTTAGGATCGGGTTGAATTTTTTTGCGGCGTTGATTGAATGTTGAGGTCAGATTCGATAATCCTCCAGCTAAAACCACCACAGAATAAGCGACCCCTGCTTTGGAAGTAGACGCGCCAAAAGTCGTGGTTGACAGGAAACACCGTTGTGGGCTCTCAGATAGGGCGACTTCTCTTCGGTGAGGCTCTCTTAAGGGAGTAGCCAGAACGGTGTGAGCGATATGGGTGTGGCCATGGCATTATCTATACTTACACCATTCTCTTGGGAAACTGCATGTTGCTCGTTCAGAATCCGTTTGGATATGAGTATGTCCTGCTTGTTTTCAGGAGTACTTGCCATAAGTCACTGAAGACCGTGTAAAATGTTGTCACTCTCACCTTTAAATCGGCAGCTTTGAAGCATACCAAAGCTTGTCCATCATATATTCCAGCCAGTCATTCTACTCCAGGTTATTGCGGGTCTTCTGGCCACGCCACTTGACAGCACCTCATCATTAGGGGTTCCAGGTTCCAGTTCCACGGCTAACAAAATCAGTACAACAGTAACCACAAAGCGACATCAACGTTGCCGAGCGCAGGAACAATATTAATTAATCCTCTGAACAGTGGGATTCGGTTGTACGTTCGCGTCTAGTCTGTCTCTTCCGCTAAATTGAGTTAGTGGAAGTTGTGTCCCGCGTATGATCTCGAACGTCGCTGCTTTCACACTCACTCGTGAACACTGAAACGTGCGTAGCTACTGGGTTGCCATTTGTGATTCGCCATGTCAGTACACTCGGTCTCCGTTGGCTTAGTTCGCCAGCAGTTTGTCCGTAGGATCGACCAATGCGGCCCTCACATTCGACAAGACCAGCATCCGCTCCCCATTTGGGCCGCACTGTGGACTCAAGCGCGGTACGACGAGAAATCGCACATTTGCCTGTATTAGGATAGTTTATTGAAGCACTGAAATGGCTAGACTGTATTAGGTAGAGTTATACTCGTGTTTGCAGATTACTGTGGTCTTAACGAGAGACTCAACTGAATCTCTCCCCCACAGTACTTTTCGACCGAATTTTGCCAGTACTGTTGTGTCGATATTGCCACTACTTGTTAATTAGTAGGCAAACCATTTGTTGGAAATCTTGTGTGTACCAGACAGCGTCTCAGTTTTTGCGGCATATATTCTGGTTTGTAGAAGACGTGATGGGGTTCAAAGTAGCATGCTCTAAGTTTATCTGCTAGACCTTGGGGCGAGATGGCCCAGGTTGTTAGAGCGCGAATTTACTGACCGGAAGGTCCGTGGTTCGAATCCGACCTCTGCCTCTCGACTCCCCTGTCTAGGCTTGGGCAATCTGGCAGTATCCCAGCCCTCGTGCAACCTTCGGGTGGCATGGCAGCTAGGCACCGAAAGGGTGTTATAGCTGAACAGCTGCTAGACCTTAATGGTGCATTGCCATTCTTGTAATAATCCATATTGCCCGAATTCCTCCTGGGTTTTGCATCACAACTGAGTGGAACACTGGCCACTACATCGCCGTATGATAGGCGTTTTCACCTCACTCAACATTCATTGTTACACCTAAATCAGCTCAAATTCGCAGCGTGCGTACAATATACGGGATATATATCAGTAAACTAAACCAATCCGTCAATGTCATTAGGTGACTGATTGTCAGCTGAACCATAAATGCTTACTTGAGAGGTATAAGATGAGAAATTCACCCTAAATTTACTTGTACTGACAGAAACATATCCGCCTACCAACTGACGTACCCGGTGTTTTTGCGTTTGCACATCGTGCTAAACGGCTCGTGGAACGAGACAACTCAATGTTTAGAGTGCGAATTTACCGACCGCATGGTCCGTGGTTCGAACCCGACCCGTGTGTCCGTTAGGGCTGGAAACATTAATAAATTCTGAACCCGACCCGTGTATCCGTTAGGGCTGGAAACATTAATAAATTCCATTTGGAGTTCTAGACTACTCAGTAACTCTTCGTGATTTTGCGTAAAATCGTCATCACTATCAGTTTTCTATAACGTAATCTTAAGCCACGGGTCATAGCCGTGGATGATTATTAAAGTACGTGGATGCGTAGTTGTTTTTACACCAAGGTTAGGTTTCAAGACAGTCTCCCTAAAGCGGAACGTTTTACGCGTATACTCCATAGGAGGTTCTCCAAACTCAACCGACCCCTCGCTATCTGTCACCAGACACTTTCCGTGTTTACAGCGCTCGAATTCAATAAATGCTGCTTACTCACCAACTAAATTGACCACAATTTGACCAAACTGATGGAGGAGTGCATTCGTTGCTCAATCCTAATATCTCAGATTATCTTCTCTGTCGCTACATTTTTGCGATGACCGTACGTTTACATTTGCAGTGTTGTTCGATCCTTTTGATTGGATGAATGATCACGTGGACGACTGACTGGACCCAAGTGCATGGAACGAATGACCAGAATTCGCCATAAATGACCTACCAATCAAAACATGCTGATTGAATTGCTTTTTAGGATTAATCACGTTTCATTGTTATCGACTATTCGCTATCTTTGAAGGTTATGAACTAATTCCCCGGAGAGGATATGGTCTACTCAGATCAGAACCAAATCAAGGGAAAAAGTGTTGGATTAGTGCATTTCTTGTGTGCTTTACGTATCTTTGAGGAACAGAAAATAAAAAATAATAGCACCACATTCAACTGGACCTGAATTTTCTCTGTCTTCTTCCACTCCAGGGAACGAAAACGCGAAAAGGAACGAGAAGAACTATGGAAGAAGTTGGAACAGTTACGTGTTTCTGGTTCGGGTGACGCATTAGGAGCAGCGCAATAACAGTAGGATGTATGCAAAGTATTACTCACGATCCACTGACCTCGCTCATTTGGAAGCTTCATCCGTTCAGTTTCACCTAACATTGAAGAGCACCATCGCTCGGCACCCAAGTCACTTCAGTCGTCTCCCCCGCCGTTACCCAATCTCGGCCGAGTCGCTGTCAGATCCGGTCGTCCGTATCTCGCTGCTGTCTGAATTCTCACTTGGACTACAGTTTTGCTATCAATACTGACTGGCTCATCATTGTAGTTTTCATTTGATCGGAGACCCCAACACAACAACCTTCCATCTCGAATCTCTTGCTTTATGCTGATACTCTCCCGGTCGTTTTTACATCGCTGCGCCCAGCAAGCGTCACCAATAACTTGCATCGGCATGCATACATTCGCGCATGTTTCCATTGAGTAACCGCACTCAATCACCTATTCTTGTCCGACTTAAGTTGTATAGTAACTCTCAGTCAATATTGTGGCCGTTTGGTGTTAGCTTTTATATGCGAGCGACCCCCGCGCGTTGTTCGCGCGCCTTGTTTTGCTCCTTATCATCTTTGCTTCTTTTCTGTGATCGGGGCTACATGCCAGATGATCAAGGGTTCACCCCGCACACATGTTTATACCTGTGAGATCGGGAGCTGCGTTCGTAACATACCTGTTGTGCTGTTGCCCATCTTCAGAGAACTCTTAAAGTTTCTTCATCCCTTTGTATATTTCTTTGGCTCGCTTCGAAAGGTATCATCTTCGTGAAGACAACAAGACGCACCGGAACATTCATTTCAGCTATGGCCGATAACTGTATCACTTTGCCAACCGAACCCTTGGCTGCGCAGCCTTTTGGGCTCCTACCCATCAGCCTTGCGGGGTTGAGGGTAGTTTCTTCATTGTTCTCACTCCGATCAAACCCACGCCTTCTACCGCTTTTTGCTTTCCGTCATTTCTCTTTCTTCCGTTTCTCGTTCAATCATGCCCATAAACTACACACACGAAGTCGTACACTGTCCATCCCCTTCATGCACATGAAATAAGCGATGAAACATTCAGCTTTATGTGTATGTTTGTTCTCTGATAGATCTCAGGTTCGAATCATGGCTTACACCCTCGTACACTGCGATTAAGTGAATCACTATGACGGTAGTCAGACGCGTTATCCGAATATAGTGGTCAACTTCCGTCCCTCGGTGTGATGTACGGTTATCAAAATGTACAAATCTCACATAGTTCATGATTTTACAAACTGATTGCGATTGGGGAAGATGCGGGACAGGTTCCTCTTGGCTTAAGGAACCACAAAGTTCAACGCAGCAGTGATCTTCCGAATTTGTAGCAATCTCGAGCGGTTTGTGAGGGCACATGTCACGTACAGTATCCTCCTAAAAGGTCACCTTTTGGAAAGTCCTCGTAGTCAAATACCCCTCTGCCGTGTCAGTCCTCTTGGGTTTCTTGAGGGGTTAGTTACACGACAGGCCTTGAGGATATTCATAATTCCGATGCACCCTTCCAATACGAGATCCTTGGGTTAACTACTTTCGCCACTGCTGCGCTTGCAATCAGTGTTGACCACATCAATGTTATACACTGATGTCATGATGCCAATGACAATGAGTCCTCGTGCTTCTAACCTGGAGGCTGAGTTTGCATGCTTACGTATGCTTGATTGTTAATACCCGGGACGGACAGCGCGTTGCTCGAAGGACATCAACGCCATCGACACCATGACATCAGTATTCAACACTGGTGCTTCACTGCCGTACAACGATGATTTATTTTAAGGCATTGTTGTAAAGAAAAGAATGAATATGGACAGGGAAGAGACTCAGTACCACCTTACAACAATTATTCCGAGGTACCTACGCCTCCAGACACTCATACAGGCAATCTGGACAAAAACTAAAAACAAGAACGCCATTGACACTGTTAAAAACCATATCTCGCAGCGTCATCAAACAAGCGCAGTGATCTCGCGGTCCCAAACGTTTCGTAATCTCTTTCATACCTCTCTGCCAACTCAAGGGTTGGCTACCTCTGCTTCCACCAATCTAAACTGGACACGGAAAACAGAAACCTCTTGGCATACGAATTACATGGCCCAACCAACGCAGCTTCTGGTGCCTGGCACGTTCGTAAATGAAATTCCCCGTTGAACAACTGAAAGACCGCTTTCTAATTGCCTTGATGCTGATTCTCCGACACCAACTCACATGAGTTATATTCCTGAGACGATTGTCGAACAACTAAAGACGTCTCAGTTCCGCTGCTCCAACAGGCCAACTCTCACGCTCATACAATAAAACAGATCGCACTGTAGCCTGATACATACGTCCCTTGAGATTCGGAGATGTACCGCTCTGGCACCATAGGGGTCCTAAATTGGCAAATGCGACCCGAGCCTTAAGGATTCGTGTATTGACTTCATTTGTCACATTACGATCGGAAATAATACAACCTTCAAGATACCTAAAACGCCCCACAACTTCGAATGCTCCTCCCTGGGTTGTGATTGGCGCGTTTAGTGATTGCAAGTCCAGGAGCATGATCCTTCAGTCTGTGGGCGCAAAGCGCATGCCAAAGTACCGGATGAGTGGTTAATTCCCCTAAGAAACCCTGCACCTTCTCTTCTTAAAAGAGGAAAAAAGCGTTCAGCTGTAGCACCATTTCGGTGCCTAGCTGCCATGCCACCCGAAGGAAGCACGAGGGCTGGGATACTCCCAGGTTGCCCAAGCCTAGACAGGGGAATTCGAGAGGCGGAGGTCGGATTCGAACCACGGACCTTCCAGTCAGCAAATTCGCGCTCTTACCAATTGGGCCATCTCGCCCCTCTTTGAAGATGAAGGCGATGTGGTCTACACACTCTAGATCGACAAGGCTTTCGTCCGCAGGCCTCCCAGCGTTCGTCTCACCGATAAGAAAAGTAAACAGGAACGGAGAGAGTGCGGTCCCATGACGGGTTACGGCTTTGGTACGGAAGCTTTTTTGGATAAGTCTCTTAGACGTATGGAAGTCTGAGAACAAAAAAAGCTTATAATGTTCATAAACTTCCCGGAGATTCCTTGATGAGTAAGCGTGTCAAGAACAGGCCGAACAGCCGAGTCGAATACGACTTAGAAAACCAAAAAACCCGAATTTCTAGATCATTTGTATGTACAAAGCAGTTCTAGCACATGATTTAGTGTGAAGATTTGGCCAATGCAAAAGATAACAGGACCATCCTGCTTGCTATTCTGTAGAAACTGTTTCACAAGCCAACATAAAGCGACAAACGAGGAGTGAAACAAGGAGTTTCGTCACGACCAGATTCAAGCTCATTCGCCTCTGGCTCCAAAACGATTGATAATCAGTTATTCATTCGCGCTGAACCCCACCACCTGTTGTTTGGGGCAATCTCCTTTTACCAAATGCAGGCAAACAGATCAGACAAGCGCTGACTGAGGATTTCACTCCCCTCTATGAACAATACAGGTGTGAGGTCATGCGAACCAGAAGCTCGGTGGCTCCTGACAGAACATAAGCAGTCATAAACCTCCGAGGCCGTAGGAGGCTCAACGTTCACCGTCCAGGGTTCTACGTCAACTGTGGGCTCCAGATGAGTGGCAGTTGGTGGCCTCGATAGCTGTTGTTTGAAGTATTTGGTCCAACGGTCGAGGCATTCTTCTTTATTCAAAATGGCCGCTACATTCTTAACTTTGATGGTTCGGCTCACAGGCGGTTTCGAGGCAGTCGTACGGACCACCTGAAATAATCTCTGAGCAACCCCGGATTTCTGTTACTCCCCTATTTTCTTAGCTTTCTGATTCCACCAGGCTTTACGGTCGGGGTGAATGCTCACTTTCACTTGATGTATGATAATTTGTAGGGTCAAATTATGCTCGGGAGCGGTGGAGAACATTTTTTCGAGATTCAAGCAGTGTCACTATCCTGTCTGATATCCAGTACTTGAACGGGCCTGGGAGTGCCGTGCCACAGTCAAGACTGGCAGCACTGAAGAGAGGCGGTGATGTCGTTCCACGATGAATTCACACCTGATGGTGGAGCAGTTGCACGAGTCCCTAACTACAATTCCGATAAATTCGTCTAACATCCGGATCTGCCAGTCCCTCAACTGCTAAGCGATTGGTCCGCAACATACGCAGCCCGAAAAAACGAATGAAGAAATGACTCTGAACGGGTGCGCGGCCGGAGTTCACAAATGCGTTCCAAAGCGAGTGGAAATTAGTTATTCATTCGCGCCGTCGGTAACTGATGGCGATGTGATCAATTTGTGTTCGCAACTGGCATGCTGTTGGAGGGCACCATATGGCCAAACGACTTCGGTATCTCGGAAGTTTGTACTGCATAAAAACAGTCGGCGGTTAGCACATTGCCAGAACAATCGTATGTACCGAATACTACCAATGTCGACCCGCTAATTGAGTCCCAGCTGCGCCAAGCATCTCCGCTAGCCCCAACGATATCCGAGCTACTAGATCGCCGAAACATACCACTCGATACTTCGTAAAACTTGTCCTCAATCGTAAGCACATACGACAGACAACAATCACCTTTCCGCTCGAGATTCTTTGACGGACGTTGCCGGATGAACCGCACAGAGGTGCCTCTCAACGTTGTATCCAGTCAACCAAGCATCCTTCCGCCGGTTGACTTAGGACGATACCGATCCTCGCATATCCGGCCGCAGCAGCCAGAGGTACGTAGCCAAAAGAGAGTGGAGAATGATGGAGCAGTTAACTCAGTCTTGTTTCTGCGATGCAGCACACACCAATCCCAAACAAGTCCACTGTGAGAACGAAGGCAATGTGTTGTCCTGCTTACTCCAGAGTGCGGACATTGAAAGCGCCCAGATATACTAAGTGTCGAGGCTTGAAGTTAGATTTCGAGATGCGTGAGGACGTCGTCGCCGGACGACGCGCAGATGTTGACTGCAAAACCGATGCACGGCGAATGGAGTCATCGGTCTTAACAGCTAGGCCTAGAAGGAGAGATGGTGGGTGCGTCATAAGTTTACTTGTATGTGTAACCTATGGTTTTACGTATGCCGGGAAACTTCCAGGGCGCCCATACCTAGACAGGAGGACGGTTAGGGTCCTCAACTAAAACCTGGCCACAAGGCAGCGGTGCTTGTCGAGAAATGCAAATACATTACCGTTTTTATGGAATATGTTCCAACCCACAATCTGGAGACCGTTCGTCAGATCTCTAACTATTGACCAACGTGGTATGAAACTCTGTGAGTGTCAAGCGGACACCTCCGAATATATCTCAACAGGTCACTGAGTTACACGAACGGTAGGCTCAAGTCCCTTCGTGACGGGAAGGGTATCGAGCCACACACCGGTGTGGCTTTGTTGAGCAATCCAGGTATCCAGCCACACACCGGTGTGGCTTTGTTGAGCAGATGGTTTCCAAAAGATGACCCTCAACATCGAATACCTTTGAGGTTGGTACACATTACAGAGAAGTGGGAGTACAAACATTTTTTTACTTCTGACTTAGCTCAACTTGTCGACAAACAGCTATTGCACGTCCCACTTGATCATTGTTTACGTGTAATGTCTGTATTATCAGTGATGGAAGTAACGTATAGGCCTACTATAATTGTACTGGCGTTTACACCTCCCCCTCCTTTCTGTGCACTAACCGTTGTTTTTGCAGAAACCATAGTGTGACAAGCCTAACAGTTACATTCGTGGTCATATGCATGTTGAACAGCAGTTAGACGGCATTACCTGTCAGTAGTAGTACAAGACTGACAAACGTAAATCATCTGGGTGTGAATGCCCGAATGCTGTCATCATAATTAACGCCATCGCCCGATAATTTGTAATGCTGTTGGTGCCTGTCTCCAATCAACTTGCAGTATTTGGGAACGATAGTCTTTATAGACAGCGCTTTTATTGGTTCGTAAAAACTGATCCCTTGCTTGAACGATCAGACGCTTTGGATAACTAGGTAGAAGTCCATCAAGGGGGAGGATTAGGAATCGAAAATAGCCGTATCGTTTACCAAGCAAGATTTGGCAGTGAAACGCTGAACGTAGAACACCGAATTCC